TTCTTTGGACTTCCCAATGTCAGGTTAAACACCATTGGGAAGATTTATTTGGGTTCGATCTTCTGTGTCATTTTCCTTTTGGGGTTTTTGACGCGGAAGGGATTTGGGACCTTCTTTGTCCGTGCGTGTGTGCCGGAACACAATAACCCATGTTGGATGCGCCCGCGAGAGATGTGAACGTCGTTTCAAATTAAGGCGCAGGGCCTTTCCAAGTTATATCGCTTGACCCACGGATTTCCATTTTCAAAAGCATCGCACCAAACTTTGTGCCTTATAATGGCAAATTGAAGAGGGACTAGGCATCTCTCTTGACATTGAGGGCAGGTGTCGTTAATGCCATGATACCTTGTATGGATAGGGATGGGGGTAGCAACCTTGAGACCAAGCTTAGCGATACAGCAGCTGAGGAGACCTGCGTTAATGGCACACTTCCACTGTCACGATCACTTTACAATTTTTTATCACCATCTTTGTGAACGTGTGGATAAATGGAGTACGTCTCCCAGAATCATCAACAGCCTTGTTGAGAAAATGGCGCATCTGACTAACTGAATACAGTAGGAGATGTCATTTGTCTAAGACAACTCAAGATAGTATGCATGCAGCATCATCCTCCAGAGAATGCATCGTATGCAATCGGTCAAATTTGATGGACAAACTCGTTCACCCTTCTGATTCAGGCTGCGTATTCGTAATTGTCCGTCAACATGATAGGCAACGCTTGGTGCCGGGTCCGGAACCAGTTCGCAGAAACATGCCCATACCGCTTGGCATTTGAGTAGCACCTTGACGTGAGGCTCACAATGCTTGAGAAATCTGCTCTCCGGTTTCCGTCCTTTGGGTCGGACTTTAGATTGGGAAGAAACTGGGGTTAGATCGACTGCGGAGGAGGTGGACCTAGAAGTAGTGTGGTTCAGCGGGTTTGAAGGTTGGGAGGAAGTGATTGGTCTAAGCATCCTGACTGCCTATAAAGAATTGATCGGATTTTGATTCATCTAAGTCTAGATCCTGAACTATTACGGATTGGAGGACATAGCGTAAAGCTTTTTTTCAAGGGTGTCTACTCCCCGAGCAAAGAAGTTTTCGTTTGCAGATCATTCTTAATCCAGCTCTAAACTCGACAAGACTTTCATTGGCGCCTTTGTTCAATAGTGTTTGCATCGAGTGAACAGTTCCGTCAAATTGTGCGACGTAGTTTCTTTCCGCAGATGTTGGTTCCTTGAGCTTGAGGCGATGCGCACTTATCTAACAACCGATGATAAAAGGATGGGGAAGGTAATTTCGCTGTTTTGAAGTTCGTTTTGAGTCATGTTCTCGCCAAGTTGTAATCGGTAAACTTCGCGCGGGTCTAATCGTGCACCTAACAACGTTTGCGAGGTTGGTTCCAAGGATATTGGCGGGGACCGGTTGTCCGGGGTAAGGGTTGTCAATTGCGGCGACTTGATCCTTTTCGGTGGTACGTCAGGTTCTTTTCATAGCCGCGTGGAGCCAATCAAAATGGAAGGTAACGATCCTATACTCTTCAGCCAGTGCCACAGAAAGACTTGTTTGGGGTCGAGCTTGAGATACAGTCGAACAGTTGCGTTGGATCTTAATACCCTTAAAGTTGATTGCGCAGTCGTCAATGACGAGAGGTATCCGGAATCAGGGTAGCTTGGCAGGTTGATGTGGGGGGCGCTGTGGTGCCCTAGAGACCGCTAATGTTTCAATAGCCTTTGACCTTAGAGCAGGTGGGGGGACATGTTGATAACGCTTGATCTTGCAGCCGGCGGGTTTAAGCACACCGAGCTTCTTTCGTGAGCCTAGCAAACTTTCGTTGGTTTCATTTCGGAGATTGTTAACACCTGGATTACGCACCATAATTGCCTGTACGCTCATCTGAGTTTCTTATAGAGCTTCTGCGGAGTCGCTACTGGCTGACATACTGCGACTCACCTAGTCGACTCACTTCGACTCTCTCTAAGGCGATAGGGTAGACCGGTAGCGAGTGGGCATTGCACTAAATGCAATTGAAATGATCACGTGGGTGCACAAAAATTAAATGAAATGCTATTTTTTTTTTTTTTTTTTTTAAAAATAAAGACTCACAAAAATTTCCTAACCTAGAAGCCAGGTGCTCTGATACAAATGATGCGAAACAATGTGATGGGCAGGTACTGAAGATTAATGACAACAATGCTTCGCCAAATCAGCGATCGATCTAGGCAGGAAGCTCAGGAATAAAAATGTAGCCTTCCGATGGATTTTAAGCAAAAGTGTATATGTACTAGTTCAAATCTTTGTAAATGATCCAAGAAAATAAACTGTAATGATTCCGTTCTCTCAATACAGCTTCAATTTGTAATATTTAGATAAGCAGACATACCTTGGCACAAGATTGCTCGCCAACTCTAAATCAAGTTTGAACTACAGCCACAAATACGCTTGATAATGAATATTGATAAGCAACATGCAAGCCAATAAGCAGTTCCGTAAACATAATTTGGGCGAAAGAAATGTTGAACTCGTTCGCGGGTTGACTTGGCTTTGACTGGCGAGGGCGGAAAATCCTCTGGAGGTTGTTCAACACACGGCCAAATATGCAGGCGGTGGAAGCTCTCCAGCCGACGGCCGGCGTAGTTAGCGATGGAGCGGCTGTGTGTATCTGGTGGAAACGCGATGCCACGAGCTGCATTCCCAAAACTACTGCTCTACATCTGTCAGGCAGGATATAAGGAGTCACACGCCTAACTACTCGGGCACGCTCTCGAATGGACTGATAAGTCGAAACCACGGGGGAAAGTTGTAAATCTACGATGCCGTTCTCTGGATCTAGCACGATTCCATCATCAGCATCCAGGATGCAGCCATAGCACCGACAAAGCTCATAAACCGGCATCTAACCTCATATAACAATAAGGAAGAGGGGGCAAAGATTTGTCTGCTTGTGGGAGTACTGTTCACCAGAATATAATAATTAGAACGCAAGGGGGTTTTCGGATTATTCACGGGAACAAAAAAAAAATGAGAGGGAACACGGGATCTTGTGGGGTGAGAAAAAAAAGAAGGGGAAGCCGGGTGGTGGGGGCTTGTTGACGAGGAGATCGGAGCCGGCCAGGACAGGGGAGTTGGCGTCGGAAGGGGACTGGGCGCTTTGGAGGTGGGGTGCGACTGGGGGAATTTGAAGAGGAGGCGCGGTCGCGGAGAGGGTGGAGGCGGACGAAGCCGGGCGCTGGGCCTGGCGTACTGGAAGGCGTCGCCGTTGTGGGACGGCTGGCACGGGGGGGATCCGCGAGCGATGAAGAAAGGATCTGCGAGTTGATGCATGGAGGGCCTGCTGGTGGTGAAGGCAGGAAGATGGAGGTTTTGACATCGTGATTAGTATTGAGGAGGAAGACGATGAAGCGGTAACTCAATTCTTTAACTTTTCTTTTGAATGGCTTGCTGTAGGTAAGAGAAGCGAATTGTTAATTCTGCGTCTAGGGTTTCACACGCGCAAACGCAAGCAAGGTAAAATTTCATTTCTTATTCTTACAATGATTTCAATCCATTACAAGAGAGCTTAAATAAAGAAAAACTTACAGATGTGGAACAATCCTCTAACGTTATCCGCTCAAATCTCTCTCATGACGCAAAATACAAGCCACTTAACTTTAAAATTAGCCTGCCAACTGAAATTTGAAAATCGAAAATTTTGAAATTCAAGAAAAATTTGCGAGCTTCAAACTCATTACTTACAATTAAAATTAAAAACCATAGTGTGCTGCAACCTGGGTCTTCCTTACGCTGATAACTCGGGGAACATAGTCTCGAACCTGTGTGCGGATGTCCCCATCAATATTGTTTAGTCTCTTGATGCTTATTTTCAACTATTCCCTACTGAGGTGCATGCAATGAGAACTAAAAAAGAGACTTACAAAGCTAATGAGAAATAGTGCGCTTATTAACATTATTAGAAACTAAATGAGAAAGATTGCAAGTATGTATATACTTTTAGCTAGTACCTACTCACTGGCAATTTCTATATAAGCTCATAAAGTAAACACAAAGTCATTGACATTTCTTAAAATCTTAATCCAATATTCAATACTATCAAGTAGCTGAAATGAAACATATTAGATAAAGAAGCCACCAAATCCAATATAATTTTAACCATCGACTCTCTGTGATTGTCACTTGGCCTGAAGAGAAAAAAGCAATTTTACATAAAGGCGAATGTAAACAATAGCCCCAACTTAGTACTCATGAGAAATGCAAACCATGACATTGAAATAAAACCATACTTTAGCAATCTTTACTCTTAGGTGCAAATCTTTACTCTTAGCCTTGCACCGTTTATCATAATCTTCCATATTTAAATCCACGTGGACTTACTCACGACTTCTACTTCTCTTTCAATTTTTTGAACTTGATACCCTAAACCTTATTTTCACGCAATGGATTCTTTATTTACATTGTCAAGAAATATCTAGAGTAAGCAATGTAGCAACTCATCAAATAGACAAACTAAATATTTTCTGGATATGGACATTCTCAAATATAAATGCAATAAAAAAGAGCATTGTTAGAAATATTCACATTCAACTTGTAAGTTAAATATTCACCAATTCAGATCTTAATTGGATTAAAATTGGAGCTTTATAAAGGAAATAAAAAAATATAACTACACCGTTGCGAGCAGGATAGCAAAGTAGAAAATTAAATAAGATAATACATATTATACAACTTCAAAAATAGAAAAAACATTTCAAATAAATAAAAGAAGAATCAATAATGACATAACCGACCTAATTAGCATCATAAAACTAATAATTTGCATTTGACATTTTCCAACTATTTACTTGATTCAACATTTCCATGTTAACAGTCTCTAAAAGTTATTTAGAACCCATATGCATAGTTTCCATTCACAAAACTTCCATAAACTTGAGCAGTTAATATTCCAAAAAACAATAAGCAATAGTAGCAGTATGCTGATAAAAAAAAAATCATATGTTAACTTAAGAATTCCTAGAACTCACCTCTGGGATCCAATTTTGATGTTTGATATGGAAAGCTTATCTATGTCACTATGTACTATTGATGATTTCTCTAGAGTGTCGTTTGTCCAATTGACTGGTACCAGCACTGCAAGTGCCGCTATCGCGATAGGCGCAAATATATTAAGTCTGCAAGAAGGAACAGAAACATCATTAGCAAAAGAAACAGAAAACCAAGGATAAGATCCACTGCTGTATATCTTCTAAAGATAAACTGCATAAACAGAATGCATCTAAGAAAATAATATAGACGACGAAAAAATCATTGTGAAATAAGAAGTTAAACTTAAGTTTCACAATCGTCACTGATGGTAAAGAGAAAGGGACAAATGCAGAAAGCAAAGGATGAGATGATATTCCCACAAAAAGAAGAAAAAAATCACAAAATTGGTTGGACCTAAGGTGGAGACATAATAAATGACCAAAATGATAACTTTGATTCACATTTCAACATCTCAATTTAGTCAAGAAAATCATAGGAAGTAACTATGTCCATAATTTTTTTGACATAGAAGCAATAACAATTGATCAGGCCACATTTAAGACCAAATGCATGCTACAGTGGATTTAAGAGTAATTTGGTGCAGCGAACAATATATGCAATAACAAACAATATAATAGTTCACATCAGTTTTCCATAATCAAAGTTATCATTTTGGACCTACGATGGAGACATAATCAAAATTATCAATGAGCTAAACAGAGGATCCTTTTCATTTTGGACCTAAGGTATTCACAAATCAATGCCACCTAGAATATACATAATATATATCGTTTAGAGTCATATATCACACATTCCAAAAGATAAATTTACTACATTGATAGGCAAAAGAAAATGAATTGATTATTGAAGCTCAATGGTAGCATATTATGTAAACTATTTTTTCTTGGTAAACATTTATTCTGGGCAGTTTCAAAGATGTCCTAGGATGCAATTCCCAATCTTTCTAGAATATAACAAATGAAACTTGAACATGAGGTTTCAATGTTACCTTCCAACTGCAAAATTTTGCAAGGGTTCATTGAATTAGAAGCCTCGACACTTCCATCCTGCAACTCGCTACTCTTTCTCTTCATCTTTCCCGAGTTTGGTAAAAGAGGAGCCCCTGTCACAGCTCTCTTTGCAACCGAATTAATCATATCAGCTTCCTTATGTAAATCATCCTCCTTCAACAATGGATTTTCATGCCGCATGCTGAAATAGTCGAAACTGGACTTGCTAATTATTTTTCTCTCATCAGTTACAACAAATGGTCTCAAACTTGGTGTGGGTGAATTGGGAGGAGAATCAATACAATACTCATCCATTTCAACTTGTTCAGCGAAAGGTTTCATGTAGTTGCCCGTAAATGTAACTGGCTTAACCAAAAATCTTCGAAACCTCCTGCTCCTAAGAGAGCCTCTACTTTTCTCAACACCATTATTCGTTCCTTCTTGATAGCTTTCCTTCTTAAAAATCCATGGATGCAAGCTCAACAAAGCACTCTCATCACTCACAAATTCTTCCTGAATCATTGAATGATCTCCATTGTTTCCACTTGCAGATGCCACTGATGCCTCTAAAGAGCTTTCTTTTGAACTATATGCATCATCCTTAGATATATGCCTTCTAATAAATTTTCGAAAAGGGCAGCTGTCTGATTCCGCTCTCTTCTGATTGAACCTTGTCTCCATTGAAATCTCAACTTGAAAAAAACGCAATTTCTTACATCAAAGAGAGTAGCCCATGAATCCAAAATCAATCAAATATTTTGCTATTAGAACTTCAAAACCCTAAGACCCAATTGAGGTTTAGGATCAATAGGAAGAATCCATCAATCAAAAAGTGATATTTTCAACTCTAATAGATATTGCTTGGCTGGAAACTGGAATGAAAGTAGAGATAAAGGAAAGAAACTGCAACCTGAAAGAATCAAGAAAAGATCCAATAGAGCTCCCAAGATCCTCCCTTTCTCCTCTTCTCTCTCTCTCTAATATTGGGAGGGGAGAGAAAATTTGAGACCGAAAGTGGACAAACGTATATAAATGACAATCAAATGGACTGTGAATTTTTAGGATTTGTTTTGTTGTTTTTTGAAAATACAGGATGACTGTAACATTGAAACCTCATGTTCAGTGAGATTTTCTCTCCAACCTTGGGATCGCCAGCGCGAGCATCAGCAAACTTCGCCATTAGAGAACAGAGAGAGAGCTTCTAAGATCTAGGGTTAGGGTTTCCTCCTCTTCTAAGACATAAAAAACTAATTGAAATGCTATTCAATCTCACTGAAGAAAGAGAAGGCAAATCTCACTGAAGAAAGATGAGGTAAAATGGGGAATGTGGAAGAGAGAGGGAGAGAGAACATGTGGGCGGTTATGAGGTGGGGTGGGGGTGGGGTGGTTTTCCGAAAAATAAGAGGAAGAGGCAGTTTGTAGAGGGTGGGAAGTTTTATTTGTATATATTTATACATTGGGTTTTTACTGTTCATAAGAATTTTTTTGTTGTTCTCCTTTAGTTTATAAGAAGTATATTTGTTGTATTATTTTTACTGTTGCGTATTACCTGTCGTATTAGTACAACTAGTACGTTTTATTATATAGATAATTGTTCCATAATTATTTGATTTTAAATGTAAGTAAATATATTTTAATTATTAATTATTTCTGTTTAATTGTACAATATGGGTATATTTCGACTATTTCGTATCAACTGTTGTATTAGCATAACATGTATGTTTTTATTTGTAGATAATTATTATGGTATTAGTTTAATTTTTAAATACATATAATTATTTATTTTAATTAATTTTTGTTTATTTCCCTAACCCTAAACCCTAACCCAACTATATATATATGCATATATTTTTCTCTGTACACATTCACGCCGCCCCACCTCTCTTCTTTCACCTCTCTCTCTTTCTCTCTCTCTTTTCCGTTCTCTCTCCCCGACACCCAAACACCACCGTCAGCCTCCCCGCTCGCCTCACATACTCCTCGCGACGCCGTCGTCCACTTCGCGCGGCACCAGTGCATTCGCCTCTCCTCCCTCACCCCGCCGCGGTAAGCGACGCCTCCTCCCCGTATGCACCCTCTTCGCTCTCACCCCACGGCTGCCCATCACGCTTCCACCACCCGCACGCCGCAGCTCAATCCCGCAGCCTCCACGTGCCTCAAACAGCGAACGGCCATCTCCTCCCGAACCGGACAGCCCTCACCCCCCCAGGATCCGCGCCTCCAACCCTGCGACACCCACGGTTATGACCGCCGATACGCTGACAACGAGCTCGAACCGCCAGATCCGCGCACACTCTCCAGATCCAGATGCCACACAGCGGAGCCGTCAGCACCCGACAAGCCAAACCGCCGCCGCCTGTCCGCTCATAGCCGACGACCAGCAGCAGCGCTCCACACCCCGCTAGACGCCGGTCCGCGGTCGCTGCCACGAGTCGCTTGCGGCCTCGAATGCGTCGAAGTCCGGCAGAGCTCCTGCATGCGGCAACCTCTTAAAGCTGCTGTCGCCTCACAGCGGACCTTGCAGCGTCAAGCGGTGATTCGTTCGAGCAAAACCAAGCAAGATCAGAACATATTATTTTATTTTAATTATTAGTTTATTGTAAATCTATTATGTGACTCGCTTCAATCTTAGATTGATGGTAATTTGATTAGTTTGTGATATATTATTACTGTGGGATTGTGAGATGATAATAATTAGAAAATCATGATAATCTGATAAATAACATTTTCGATGGAATTAAGATCTTAACACAGAAGTTATTTCGGTATCAGATACTTTATGAGATGCTTAGCTAATTTAAAAGAATTTATTTAAGAAGAATGATTTAGATAATTATAATAATTTAAAAGAAACTATCTTGGAAGAAGAATATTTTTAGAATAATTATAAATAAATTAAAGGAATTTATTTTGAAAAGGGAATTATTTTAGATTAATTTTAATTAGAAAAGAAATTATTTTGTAAGAGGAAATATTAAAAAGAATGTTTTTAGAATTATTTAAAAGGAGTTATTTTGGAAAATGGAATTATTTTTGGATAATTATAACAAGAAATAAAGGATTTATTTTGGATAAGGAAATCACTTTGAAGTAAATAAATTTATTAATTTAAAGGATTATTTTTGAATGTGTAATTCTCATTTTAATTATGTGATATGCCATGATATCGTTGCGCATGATTGGTTGTACTTATTGTTTGCTATTGTGTTTGAGAACCATTAGTAGTTCATGACTTAGTAGCCTCGTGCGTCATGAACAGACTTAGTGACATGTGTGGGTGTGTTGACTGAGTTTAGGTGGTGAACCCGAGTTCAATGAGGATTATGGTTGATTTAGAAAAATACAAGAGAGTTGGGATGGGAAAGTCCATGTTCATGTGATCGGATAAGGCTGTTGATGTATCTTCCAGGCCTCCCCATGATCCAGTGTAGCTTGGGGTTGGTTTGTTGGGTCAAAGTGGAGCCGGTGTAGCCACTTTGGTCCGTGAGCTTGATATTCACCTGATTCTTGCTTGAGTTCGAACAAGGCCGGAATCGGATTGCGTGTAGCCCTCTGACCGATCCAGTGTAGCGGCGTATTGGGTGCACGTAGAGGATTTGTGAACAGCCAGTTATCTGATGACAGGAGCGTTGACTCTGTGTGAGATGTGGACCAGTGACCTGTTATAGAATGACTAGTTACCTGATCTTGTTATTTAAGGTGATTAGGATTCTTGTGTGAGATGTAGGCCAGTCGTAATTCTTTCATACATAGATCGGGATTAATATTTAATTATCTATAATTTGAGACATATGGTATATACATGAGGGTTTCCTTGTTTGGATTATTTGGTAATACCATCTATTGTATGCCCCTGTTATTTGGATGATTAGACTGATCGCTAGCTGCATGATCTCGTTACCTAATCGATTTTGGATGCTTTATGTCTATCGTGTTTTAGTAGGGAATTTGTATGTTGATTTTGTTGGATTTCCAGTTGCACGTTTTTTTGTCATTTCTGTTATCGTATCATTTCTCGCTTTGGATTTCCGTTTGTCATTTCTGTTATCGTATCATTTCTCGCTTTGGATTTCCGTTTGTTCTATTTTCTTTGTGGGGTCGGGTCTTGCCGTGCGCCATGCACCTGACGTACACATGTTTTCTCTGGTGTACGTCAGACTTAGAGGAAGAACAGGTTCAGCCGGGAGATCGTCAGGAGCCAGAGGATTTTCAGCAAGAGTGCCTTGCAGACGTAGCAGAAGAAGAAGCCGAAGCTTAGTCATTCCTTTCAGTTTGTTTTGTAGCACTTTCATTCACTTTTGTTCATTGTATTTTTATATTCTCCAGTATTTCATTTAGATAGTTTTGTATAAGGGCATGTTGACCCGAATATTATGTCTGGGATGAATATTCAGTTGTGATATGTATTATTTTATTCTATGTTGTTCATTATATTCTTGCTGATTGTGATCGGGGACCTGTGCCTTTGCATTGTATTATTTCCAGACGCTTAGCGTATTGGATTGGGGAGAAAAGAAAAGAAAAAGATAGTGTATATCTCTCCTCAGTCTAATACGTCGCGGGCTTGTTCACGTTCCGATTCCCTGGTATTTTGGGAAGCGGGGCGTGACAGGTTTTTTTGGTGGCCCATGCAGGTTACGGTTCCGATCACGGTCCCTAGTCCTCACTAGTAAGAATATAGTGGACAATTTAGAAACATATCATATTTCATCCGTGAGACTAATCTTGAGCCCTTATCCTATTCTCTTGATAGATTTTGTTTCGTCCCTATCTAATCACTCTTTGACTCCGGAGCTTTCCACAGTTCTTGTCCCATCGCTTCGTGATTACCCTCTCTTTGTATCCTCGTACCGGTTATTATTTTATGTATTATTATTTTTACAACTATATTTTTCCTTGATTTGACTTATATCCTCGTACCGGTTATTATTTTATGTATTATTATTTTTACAACTATATTTTTCCTTGATTTGACTTATATATCGATTTCTGCATTATTTATTATATTATTTTATGCATCATACATAGTGTTATATTGTGTGTTTTCATTAAAAATATATATATCATTACTTATATATTTTTAATTGTTCAAATCATATTACTAAGTGTTTTGCATTATTCTAGACTCCACATATACATCACATAGCATATCTGATATTCAGATTATTTTCTTGTGTTAAATATATTTTTGCATATCTAAACTTGTGTATGTGTATGTTTTTCTATCATATTATCTATTAATTACTTATGTTTAGATTATTGTATATTGTTCGTATTTCACGATATACTTTAATAGATTCATGATTTTAATATTCTACATATACAGTATATTCTTATCATTTACATTTCAGTATATAGTTTTTATCAGTAAGTTTTGCCTTGTTAGATTATTTTTATGTTCGCATTGGTTTTGTTATTTCTAAGAGCAATGTATTTTTATTTTAATATTCAAACAATTATTCATATTGTTAGGTTTGGATTGAGTTACTAATTATATAGTTTTATTGCATTATCTCGTACCATTGGTTCTTAATCTTTTATTCCTAATATAAAAGATTTTTCTAAATCGCATTTGTGAGTATGTAAAGTATTTATTCATGGTTTGTTTATAGTGTAGTTGCATATTTGTTGTTGGTTGCTTCATTTTCAATAAGTATTATTTTATCCTTTGTGACAATATACATTGTATATGTATGTTATTTTTCAGTGTTTATTTTAGAGTATTTTTAGATTTTTATGTCATTTTATTGTGTTATTTGTTGTTGTCCATTATCTATTCATTATTTTCATTTACTTGTGTTGTGTTTTACTTTTCATTCTTTTATGCTTACTATTTTCTTTTTCATTATGGTCTATTCACATATATTATTATATTTATAATATATTTTTATTGATTTATAGTCATTCATAATTGTTAGTATCAACTGTGTTTAATCGTGTTCTATTTCATGTATTATCGATGTTTATATTCACATGTTCATCAATCATTCATTGTATGTTTGTCTACAATATATCAATGTTTTTGTTATACGGAATTATGGTCTTCTTATGTTTTCATTTGCTTATATACTTATTTTACCTTTCATAGTTTTTGTTTTTATATATTATACTTCTTTATCTAGTAGTATGGTTGTGAGTGTCAATATTGTTAGTAAGTATTTATGTTTTAGTGTATTCTACAATTTTTATATGTGTTAATTTATTTTGAGTTTTATACTGTCAAATTGTTCGTTACTTATTTAAATACATTGAGTCTTTCATTTATGTCTCTTCTTAGCAGATTTGTATTTTTCATTATTTTAACTTGTATTGTTTTACATCGTGTTACTCTTCTGCTTTGTTTCTCTTATTTCGTATTTTTTTT